TGGCACTCTGCTGCCAAATATCAAGGTTGCAAGTGTCTTAGTTTATGGGTTTCTTAATGAGAACTTGTACTGTTCATTCAATAAAGGACTTAAGCGGACATTTCCTGGTGTTCACAGGAATTTTAAAACCAGCCCCACATAACAAAATGAAAAGGGAATACTATTACTTTCTGCATGTTTTTAGGAACTCAGAAATGAATTACCCTAAAATTAAAACTATCAAAAAAAACTCTAAAAGTGATCCCCAGGATGCTAATAATGTGTTCACATCTCTTTAAAAAAAAAAAAAATCAAAGGAGGAGGGTAAAGAGAAATACGAGTGGATCCAATCCATCATTGTGATATTCAAGTTTCTCCTTAGATAAAACAGACATAAAACATGTGCTTTACAAGTCTCAGATGACCTTCAAGACATCTGAAGTCCAGTATCTATAGATTTTTAAGTATAATTAACAACTCCTGTTTTTCCGTCTAAAGAATCCAAGTTCTGTTTCTCTGACAGGCAAAAGCCAATCAATTTTGTTCCCAAATGCCAATACAAGCAATTTAAAAATGACATTAATTAAAATACTACCAAGGCTGTTAGGGTTTGTGCTGGTGGATTTTTTCCCCCTCTCTTTAACCTAATTTAATTTTTATTTACAGGGCTAATGAGGGAAACACTTTGGTTGATCCATCTCTGGGACAAAGAGCTGGCCTTTCAAATACAGCAGAAGTCTGTGGAGGCCACCACACTGCCAGGCTGCATGGCCACTGCAGCTAGATTGTTTGTTTCACCTGGCAGACCAAAAAGTGACAGATCATTTTATCACAGTGCGAGTAACAATTTTCTGGTTTTGGTAACGAAAATACAATGCTCATTTGTATTGCTGTAAAACTTATAAATATGTCCTGTAGGATAAGTAACATTCAAAGCAACGTCCTAATTAAAAGGAAAGTTCAGTTATCTTGCAAGATAATATAAGGAAAGGCACATAAATTGTAAATAAGATACATGGTAAAAATGAAAAAGACAGGCTGGATAGGAGAGGAATAAAATAAGATTTGGAAACCTGCTGTCTAAATGAACACAAATTGTGAGATTATGTCTCATTGAACTATAAAAATAACAAACCAGTGGCAAAGATGCAATAGAATTTCCTATGTACACCATTTTAATCTTAATATAATTTTCCCTAGTGCATCCACATTTATTGAACTACTACGATCATTTCTTTCTCACTCTGACCAAAGTTGCTGAGAGAATGTACTTTGATACAAATAATTTCCTGATTATGAACATGAAAATAGTCCAGAAACTGACCACAGTGTTTTGTTGTTTTTAACTTTTTATTTTGTATTGGAGTATAGCCACTTAACAATGTTGTGGTAGTTTCAGATGAACAGCAAAGGGACTCAGCCATACATATACATGTATCCATTCTCCCTCAAACCCTCCCTTGCATCCAGGCTACCACATAAGGTAGAGCAGAGTTCCATGTGGTATATAGTAGTAGGTCATTGTTGGTTATACATTTTAAATATAGCAGTGACCATAGTGCTTTTTAAAAATGACAGGACGGGATGAGGAAGCTGTGGTACATATACACCATGGAATATTACTCAGCCATTAAAAAGAATTCATTTGAATCAGTTCTAATGAGATGGATGAAACTGGAGCCCATTATACAGAGCGAAGTAAGCCAGAAAGATAAAGACCATTACAGTATACTAACACATATATATGGAATTTAGAAAGATGGTAACGATAACCCTATATGCAAAACAGAAAAAGAGACACAGATGTACAGAACAGACTTTTGGACTCTGTGGGAGAAGGTGAGGGTGGGATGTTTCGAGAGAACAGCATCGAAACATGTATATTATCTAGGGTGAAACAGATCACCAGCCCAGGTTGGATGCATGAGACAAGTGCTCGGGCCTGGTGCACTGGGAAGACCCAGAGGGATCGGGTGGAGAGGGAGGTGGGAGGGGGGACCGGGATGGGGAATACATGTAAACCCATGGCTAATTCATTTCAGTGTATGACAAAAACCACTGCAATGATGTAAAGTAATTAGCCTCCAACTAATAAAAATAAATGGAAAAAAAATAAATAAAAATAAAAATGACAGGACGTTTGCTCAGGCCTGAAGCCTTAGGAGAATCACAAAATATCTGCCATTTCCTCAAGAAAGCAGAAGGAGAGTACAGAAAACCAACTTCCCCATTTCCTCCTGCATAAAATAACTCCATACATTTGTTTCTTTCTTACTTTAAAAAAAAATGCAGAAACAACTTCTGTGACACCTTGATCTAGACTGATGGCCACCTGATGTAAAGAACTGACTCATTTGAAAAGACCCTGATGTTGGGAAAGACTGAAGGCGAGAGGAGAAGGGGACGGCAGAGGATGAGATGGTTGGATGGCATCACCGGCTCAATGGACATGAGTTTGAGTAAACTCCGGGAATTGGTGATGGACAGGGAGGCCTGGCGTGCTCTAGTCCATGGAGTAACAAAGAGTTGGACATGACTGAGTGACTGAACTGAACCGATCTAGATTGTGCTAGACAGAAACAGAGCTGATGCCAGGGAAGAGCTAGGGCCAGTAAACACTGAAGTGGCTTAAGGAAGATGACCATTGGTGTGGCCTCAGTGTTTCAGTCTGCAAAGTGGGATGATAATACTTATTTCACCACTTCAAGCCTGATACATGAATGTTTAGTAAGTATTACTTGAATATGTATGTGAAGGCACAAACTGTACATATGTAAAAGATTCACTGGAGTGAAGCCATGAAGTCCAGAGGGGGCCCTACATCTCCTTCAGTCTTTACTGAGGAAGCTCAGTAAAATATCCAAGTCCAACCACCCTCACATAAATCTTAGACATTTCAAACACCAAGGTAACAAACTATACCCTCCTTTGCTTCTGCTCATGTCAGTCAGTTAACTCGTACTTATTTCCTGGTTGTCATCAATGTTCTAATGGATCCTTAATTTTTAAAAATACCCAAAAGTAGAGACTATACCCTGCTCCTTCTTTTGTTTTTAATGTGGTGTCACTATTATGCCAAAGCCTTTGACCGTGTAGGTCACAACAAACTGTGGAAAATTCTGAAAGAGATAGGAATACCCCAGATCACCTTACCTGCCTGCTGAGAAATCTGCATGTAGGCCAAAAAGCAACAGTTAGAACCGGACATGGAACAACAGACTGGTTCCAAATTGAGAAAGGAGTATGTCAAGGCTGTATGTTGTCACCCTGCTTATTTAACTTATATTCAGAGTACATCATGCCAAATGCCAGGCTGGATAAAGCACAAGTTGGAATCAAGATTGCTGGGAGAAATATCAATAACCTCATATACAGATGACACCACCCTTATGGCAGAAAGCTAAGAGGAACTAAAGAGCCTCTTGATGAAAGTGAAAGAGGAGAGTGAAAAAGTTGGCTTAAAACTCAACGTTCAAAAAACTAAGATCATGGCATCCGGTCCCATCACTTCATGGCAAACATATGGGGAACAATGGAAACTGTGACGGACTTTATTTTTGGGCTCCAAAATCACTGCAGATAGTGATCGCAGCCATGAAATTAAAGCTTGCTCCTTGGAAGAAAAGCTATGACCAACCTAGACAGCATATTAAAAAGCAGAGACATTACTTTACCAAAAAAGCTCCATCTAGTCAAAGCTATGGTTTTTCCAGTGGTCATGTATGGATGTGAGAGTTGGACTATAAAGAAAGCTGAGAGCCAAAGAATTGATGCTTTTGAACTATGGTGTTGGAAAAGACTCTTAAGAGTACTTTGGCCTGAAAAGAGATCCAACCAGTGTATCCTAAAGGAAATCAGTCCTGAATATTCATTGGAAGGACTGATGCTGAAGCTGAAACTCCAATACTTTGGCCACCTGATGTGAAGAACTGACTCATTGGGAAAGACCCTGATCCTGAGAAAGACTGAAGGCAGGAGGGGAAGAGGACCACAGAGGATGAGATGGTTGGATGGCATCACCGACTTGCTGGACATGAGTTTGAGCAAGCTCAGGGAGTTGGTGATGGACAGGGAAGCCTAGAATGCTGCAGTTCATGGCATCACAGAGTCGGACACGACTGAGTGACTGAACTAACAGTGTAGAAATCCAATTGCTGTTAAATGACAATGCTCAAATACTTCTTTTGCTATTCGCATTCTGGTTTGTGTTATTAATTTACTATTTTCCAAAAGTTTATCAGACAAGAGAGACATGTACTTGCTCATGCATAGCTATGTGCCAAACACATGAACCAATCAATTTTATTAAGTACGTTATTAATTAACTCCTTTGGTGAACAGAATGTATAAAGATATAATGTGACTTTTTTAATGTGCCCTTTATTAATTTTTTTAAATGCTTCATCAGTTCTATCAAGTCTGTTCATAAGTTTTCCAAATGTTCAAATACAATTTCAGATACCCTGCCAGTTCTTTTTCTTTTCAGCTCTGCAGAACTCTCTCCTGAAGTTCTCTGATAATGTGACTAACTTTTAATTTTGATATAAATACTAGATTAAATAGTAGAAAGTTATGGACAGTGGACCTGCTAAGGCAAATAACAGTTGATGTAAACAAAAAAAAATAGATTCATAAACAAGCCTTCTTAAATTAAGCGATCTGTTCTTAGAGCTGCAAATCATGAGCACACCCTGTTTATAAATTTTGGATTACTTTTTCTAGAAAAAAAAAATCTAAGGATTTAAATTGAAGCTACCAAGTCCATCTGATTTCTTAATACAAAAATCCATTGCAGTGGTTTTCTACTTTTTCAAAAGCCTCATTGATCAAATACAAATAGAGTAAAAGCCATCATTAAATAATTTCCAGGCACTACATATTCAGACTTCATGATCACAGATCAGCTGGTAGGAAACGCTGGTTACCAAAGCAACCTGAGGATGTCTGCAGGATCACCAAAGCAGATTCCATTTCCCAGGGCAGAGAGTCCTTCTCCAGGTGAAATTACCCAGCTGTGCTTTCTATGGAGGTCCCTCCAGGCCATTGTTTTGGATGATCTTAGCATACTCCTTGGCTGATGTGTAAGGGACTCGGGGTCTTGCTGCATCTTCAAAATCAACGTGGAAGAGACCAAACCGGCTGCTATATCCCTGGTTCCACTCAAAGTTATCCAGGAGAGACCAGGCACAGTATACTTGAAGATTGACTTTGTCAAGTTGGATAGCTAAAATTACACAAACAAAAATTTATCAATTACTCAAAGATTTTATGGAAACATACACAAAATCATTGATGACCAGTATAGGTGGGTAGTCTTCTCCTGCTGAAGATCACAGTGGAAACAGAAGAAGCCTTGTTTCAATCCTCTTTTCCAATTCCCTGTTTTAAACAAGCATGGACTTCATTTAAGAAGTTAGATTACACGCCTTGTTATTTGTCAGCCCCTCTTCATCATATGGGGGAGCTCTTTAATCTCTGAATTTCAGCCAAGTCCAACTATATAAAAGATCCAATTTTTATTAAAAGTGTAAATAAATGAATAAAGAAATTATGACACTAAAAAAAGTTAAATTACATAATTCTAAACATTTGGGGACTTCCCTGGTAGCACAGTGGATAAGAGACCACCTGCCAATGCAGTGGGCGCAGGTTCGATCCCTGGCACAGGAGGATTCCGCATGCTGGGAAGCAACGATTAATAAGCCCGTGTGCCACAACTACTGAGCCTGCACTCGAGCCTGCTTACTGCAGCTGGACAGGGCCTGGATAAAGCAGCAAACACCCAGTGCAGCAAAAAACAAATGCATAAATAAAATTAAATATTTTTTTTAAATATAGTAACTTTAACAAATTAAAATAAATATTTGGTGATTCATTCATTTTGAAATGCATTTTATTCATTCATCCATTTACTCAGTACATGTCTTTTCAATACCTACTATTTTTCAGATATGAAACACACGTATACAGAGTTTCTCCTTAGTACCCTAGAACTGCACTCAGTAAAAACACTACTAGCTTCTAAATTCAACTCCAAGATAATCTAGAAAGCTTACTGACAAACTGGAAAAAAGTGATAACATAGCTGAGGAGGCCCCAAGTCTTACTTTGTGTCCTTATGACCAAATTAACATATTTTAAAATTCTGGAAGTAGAACCTCCAAAATGAAAAGGACCAGCACAGGGTTCTGGCCGTGCTTTTATTCCAGACTAAGAAGGTACAGAAATGTTAGGGCATTCTCTCTGCCCCATGTCTAAACTCAGAGTGGTACCAAAGAACTAGACCACCTCCCCTCCAAATGCACATATGTCCAAGCACAATATCCTATATAATTTTATCTGCGGATGCACCAGAGCCCATCCATGGACTCCATAGTAAGATACCAAAGCGTGGAGAATTTTCTAAGTACACTAATTTCTATCGTTTAGTCAGAGAATTAAGCTCATTTTTAATTGGCATCCTCTTAGATTATATGAATCTTTGCATTTTCTTTTCTTAATAACAAGTAAACCTTATCTGTGGGATTCACTAATATTTGTTTTATGGTGCAGAAGTTAAAGGGCAGGTTTTCTTTATAAGATAGACATATTCCTAAATAAGTTTGGAGAAGGAAACGGCAACCCACTCCCAGTGTTCTTGCCTGGAGAATCCCACAGACAGAGGAGCCTGGCAGGCAACAGTCCATGGGGTTGCAACAAGTTGGACACGATTGAACTACTAACACAATTTCTTCCTAAATAAGCTAGATGAAAATGAGCATTTATACAATAAATCAAATTTTAATTTTACCATGGATTGCTTTCAACCCAAATGTCTTCTAACTTCAGCAAAGTAAGATCTACTTTTAATTTTTCCTGTAATATTTCTGTATTTTTCTGGTCTCTCGAAAGTACTATACCCATGAACGTGTGTTGATCTCCAAATCTTAGAATTTTTTTTCATTGTGGATATTCCATAGACAAATGGAATTGTTTTTACTATAGATATTCCTTTGACAAAAGTTTTCTGACAGGTTAACTGATGCATAACCCCTTGTCCTTTATGCATGGAGGCATGGATGGGGCTTTACTTAGAGAGTGCCCTGTGAATGGCCTCAAGGCAGGAATTAAACCAAACTGGACAGATTCTTTTGCAATGAAGTATTGTTGGAAAATGAAATATATACCATTCAAGCACATCAAGCTTTACAGGAATTAAAACATTTACTAGGTATTCCTTTTCCTTCTACCTGTCCACCTTGCCACATGTGTCTCCTCCCCTATCAACCACAATCTGCAAATACCAAATTTTTAAATAATCTTCTTATATTTAATTTCTGGATGGCATATATCTAAGAATGAAAATGACCAAAACCAAATACCAGGCAAGCATATAGCAATCTTTTTTGACTGCTTTACAATTCAATGTGGGGACATGTGAAAATCATCACTTTTTCTTTCTCACTTGCAGAACTACTGCTCAAAAAGCCAGTCTACCAGGTATGAAGCCAGACAGTTTCTGAAAGCATGCACAGTCCCACCAATCACGTACAAAAGGATTGATTCATGTACTAAACTGGGGGATAAAAACGATGCCCTGCCTGCTTGGAAGGGAACAAAAAGGAAATGTTGACAATTTCATCATTATCTGCCAGGAGTTCCGCAGCAGGCACTAAACGGCCCAAGTGACACTGGTGGATGTCGCTGCATTTTCATTGCAGGAACACTCAGCTAGAGAATTACCTACTTAGGGCTGAGGAGCCACCCTGCTGGAATCCTTCTCATGGTGCTACCACTGGGAAAAATTACAAAACCGTACTGGAACCTGCATGCCTCTCCTGTTCCAATCTTCTCAAGAACAGAAAGAAACCATCATCGCATTTCTTGTCACTGTGATTTATGAAGTCCCAAATCTATGCAGGAAAAATACCACTCCTGTGAATCCACTCTCTTTCTTTAAGCAGAGTTTCAGGCCAAGTAAACACAGACCGACAAGAACTGCAGATGAGTACCACATACATGGGGGTGTGAGCAGGACACCCGCCCCGGAATAACCAGAGTTTGGTTTTGAACTAAAAGACCAGTAGGAAAGGTGTCATGGTCAGCAAGTTGAATATAAAGATGAAAGGATTTCTAATCTCATAGCATTGGAATGCTCTTGAGTCATTTACAAAGATGTGGATGGACGGGGAATGTGTCATACAGAGCGAAGGAAGTCAGAAAAAGAAAAACAAATATTGTATATTAACACACATATATATATATATATATATAGAAGCTAGGAAAATGGTACAGGTGGACCTATTTGTAGGGCAGGAATAGAGACACAGATGAAGAGAATGATGGGTGGACACCGGTGGTGGGGGAATGAGTTGGGAGGTTGGGGTTGACGTGTATGCACTGCCATGTATAAAATAGATAGCTAATGGGAACCTGCTGCATAGCGCAGGGAGCTCACCTTGATGCTCTGTGATGAGCTAGATGGGTGCGATGTGGGGGAGGCTCAAGACGGAAGGGATGTACGTATACATGTAGCTGATTCACTTCATTGTACAGCAGAAACCAACACAATATTGTAAAATAACTATACCCCAATTAAAAAAAGGTGCAAGGAAGAAAAAATATCTAAGGTTGATTAATATATTATAGCCTCCGGCTGTTCTCATTACAACTCCAGTGTTATAATATGCATATACACGCACACACATGCACACATACACTCACTGCCTAGTGTTGGCCAAAATGAAAAGGTTGAGGAGGCAGTCCTTCACCAGACTGCTTTCTCTGCTGACACAACTTCAAGTTCAAAGCGTTCCCAAAACCCTGCTCAGTTTCAGTAAGTTGCTACAAGAACTCTCTAGAACTCACAGAAACCTCTTATAGTCAAGGTTATGGTTTATTCAGCAAAGGATCCATATTAATATAAGCCAAAGGAAGAGGCACACAGATCAGAAATCGATGGGCTTCAAACAGAAAGTTTTCATTGTCTTTTTCCCTAGGAGTCAGGACAATTTGTCCTCTTAGTGCTCACATGTGACAACACACACAGCATTGCCAACCAGAGGCCCACCTGAGCTTCAGTGTCCAGAGTTTTCATTGTAACTGTGTTATCAACATATTGGCATGATCGACTGATTGTTCACGTGAATGAACTCAATTCCCAGGTCAAGTGACACTGTGTGACCCAAAGCCCCCCACTCAGGCACAGAGTCAGTCTTCTAGTGTGACTAGCCCTCACCCTAAACAAAGACATTCTGTCATATAGCAATAGATTTTTCACCCAGAATCTGAGGACAAAGGGCAATCTACTCTTTGGCCAAAATCAAATTCTTTACTACACACACACACCTATTTTATTTATTTTTTTCCATTTATTTTTATTAGTTGGGGGCTAATTACTTTACAGTATTGTAGTGGTTTTTGTCATACACTGACATGAATCAGCCATGGATTTACATGTATTCCCCATCCCGATCCCCCCTCCCACCTCCCTCTCCACCCGATCCCTCTGGGTCTTCCCAGTGCACCAGGCCTGAGCACTTGTCTCATGCATCCAACCTGGGCTGGTGATCTGTTTCACCCTAGATAATATACATGTTTCAATGCTGTTCTCTCGAAACATCCCACCCTCACCTTCTCCCACAGAGTCCAAAAGTCTGTTCTGTACATCTGTGTCTCTTTTTCTGTTTTGCATATAGGGTTATCATTACCATCTTTCTAAATTCCATATATATGTGTTAGTATACTGTAATGGTCTTTATCTTTCTGGCTTACTTCGCTCTGTATAATGGGCTCCAGTTTCATCCATCTCATTAGAACTGATTCAAATGAATTCTTTTTAATGGCTGAGTAATATTCCATGGTGTATATGTACCACAGCTTCCTTATCCATTCATCTGCTGATGGGCATCTAGGTTGCTTCCATGTCCTGGCAATTACAAACAGTCCTGTGATGAACATTGGGGTACACGTGTCTCTTTCAGATCTGGTTTCCTCAGACACACACCTATTTTAGAAGCTGACCATTTCATGGTATTGTGCAGATTCTTCTCAATTTACTGACCTAAGTGCTGTTGTGATTATGCCTGTGTACTGCTGCTGTACAGAGCAGGGAGAATAGAAAGGAGAGATAAGAAAGCCTTCCTCAGCGATCAATGCAAAGAAATAGAGGAAAACAATAGAATGCGAAAGTCTGGAGTTCTTTTCAAGAAAATTAGAGATACCAAGGGAACATTTCATGCAAAG